GCAACACAACACAGCTGTCACACGTCCACTTATCCCATACCCCCCGGACTGGTTGGACCATCTACCTTGTGTCATGTGCCATTGGGGTCCTTCTTGTCTAGCAGTGCTCCAATCCAGGCAGGAGTTTGGGCTACCCATCCCTGCCTCCCCCAGCACCCAACCATTCATTGGTTGTATGGGCAGAATTCCCATCCCGCCTCCTCAGTGGAGAAGGAGGCAGGGACAGACAGCCTGATCTTCTGCCTGGATTGGATGGCCGCAGGAGAAGGAGGATCCCAGCAGTGTACAAAGCAAGGTAAGTCAACCATCCAGCCTGGGGGGGGGGCAGGGCTAGTGGACGCCTGCCTGCTACGTTGCCATGTTGACAAATTTTGTCATCAGCACAGCGTTAATTTGGCCCCATCTCTAATAATAACAATTTTTGTTTCATTCTGTTTTGCCTAAAAATGAGAATAAAGCTTTCTTATAGGGCTCAATAGTGAACATGTGTGTTCAAAGAATTGAATTTCAGCATATAAACATTCAGCTAGGACACTTGTTAACTAAGACACAGCACTTTCCTAGAAGATGATTGTCAAATGATGGAAAATTCTTTGAGAATATAACACTTGAGACACCATGGCAAAGACGTAAGGCTGTCCAGTTCTTTGTTCACATTGCTAAAGGCACTGAAGCAGACAAGGATTCCTTAGTAATTACACTTTTAAAAGTGTTCGTTTTAAATTCCCCAAACACAGTTTCTTCATGTGAAACAGTTCTTTTATTGCATGGGATGTTGATCTTTCTTCTTTTGACTCAGGAATAAAATGGCCTTCCCTTTTCTGGAGTTTGTAATCTGTTCAGCCTGGCAACCTGAGATGGTGAAGGTGGTACATCTTGCCTGAAAGGACCTTTGGGAACGGCATAGTTCGGGTCCTGAACTTTCTTGTAAGAGTCATAGTTGTTGGACCCTTCAGAAGAGGTCTTTTTTTTCAGCTGCTGCTCTTTCCGCCTCTGCTCTTGACGCAACAGCTCTTGAGTTTCAAGCATTACCCGTGCATTTAAGCCATGGCCCCCCATGTAGCCATTTCTTGAACCCTGATAACTGGAATACCTCGGGTTGTCTTTTGCACTTTGGAAACCTTCACCTGGAGGGTAGTTCTGTTCCCATGAATCTTGAGACACAGAGCTTGCATTTTTTCGGCTTTGCCTGAAAACAGGGGAAAAATTTGTGTAAGGGAATTGTGAAACATTGATTTTATTTCTAAAAATCATTTTAACTCACCTTTCTTTCTCTGTGTGATGCACTCAAGGCAGCTCACGCTTGATCCAAAACCATAACAACCCACAATCAATGCAGAATATGAGACAGTACTACTGAATATTGATTGCTGTGGGAAAACAGCATGAAATGGTGTTGCCTTCTTGTTGGGCTCATGTGCTTCCTATATGTATCTGGCTAGCTACTGTGGAAAACAGGATGAGAGACCAGGCAACCCCATTGTCCAACGCAACAAGACTCTTTTCATGCCCTCCCAAACAAGAGAGCCTTAGGATACAACTAGATAATACACTCAACACACATTTAAAGCATGTGGTCTGTCAAGTGGTGAAAGACATTTGTTTGCAATAGCTTGTGTACTTCCTCACCTCTGTTATCTTGCATTTAGCATGTTTGTTTTCTGAGGTCACTGGAAATGAAACATGAGCTTAATCTTCAAGTCTGACTGTTGAGGTACAGAATCAAAGGAAACCCATTGTGCAAGAGAAAATGGGTTAAATTAGAAGAAATGCACATTTTTCTCAACGTCTTGCTTGGTCCTACTGCAATCCAATAGTAGACTTCTCCATTCTGGGAGTCCAACTTATCTACCTTGCAAATACCTTACAAACATCTCAATGTGATGCACTTGGAAGATAGGCCTAAATAAGGAGCCTTTGAGGCTGAGCTAGGCCAAGCTCTGCCTAAGCTTCCTTTTCAGAAAGACAGCTCCCAGCTAGCACTGGGGCAAAAACAGGAAGCTTGGTTGGAGCTTGGTCTAGTTGCACTTCAAAGCCTTCAGACTGAGACCTTTATCCCAGGTCCATCACATGGAGGAGCTTGTAAGGTATCTGCAAGGTAGGAAGAGCTCCCAAATGGAGAAGTCTGGTATTTGTAGTCCAGAAAATCTAAAAATACAATTCCTAGTGTTTCTTGGGGAATAGTAACACACCAGTTCAGACATTCTGTGACATCCCTAGATGATGATGTTAGTTCTACATTGGTAGATGGTTTCCTTTACCCTCTCTTCTTACCTCCCACACCCACAGTGCTTGCTTTGTCTCTTTTGTTTAGATTACCCAGCTATGCTTCAATTTCAAGGTGTTCTTTGAGGCACCATGCTATAAATATTCACAATTTGACAGCAAGTGCTGTAATAACAATTAGAACCTTCAAACCTAATGCTACAATAGACCAGGACACAGACCATCAACATGCATGAGTTTAACAACTGGATTGCCAGAGACCTAACTTTTAACTTATGGAAGCCCAAGAAGTTCATGCATCTTTAGATGAAAACTGTTCACAAAATATGAAGCATCTGAACATTCAACCAAATGCAATTTAGCCAAGGCAAGTATAATTGAAAGTAAGGACACATCTGTTGAAACGTTTGGAGATGCATCAAGACACTGACCTATTATGGTTGACATTTAACTGGTAGCAGCCAGAAACATTGTTTCTCTATACTGTGTCAAGCCTATTCTGCTGAAGTCCCACCATACACAGTACAAGCATTAAGAAGGAAGAAATCTAACATTATACAAAGGACACAGTTTGGGATTTTTTGGGGGGAGGGGAACTGAACCTCCCCAAATCCCACTATTAACATGGCCAAGATCATGCTGGCCAAGGAGTTCTGGGTGGTATAGTCCTAACAAACAACATTTTGAAAGTCTGATTTAAATTGCTTATTCAAGAAGGTGTGTTGAGACACATGCCAGCAGAAATCAAAGAAGATGGAGGTGGGAGATGATGGTTGGAAGCAAATCAGGAGACTGGAGAAAGCCGGAGTTGCATGTATATCACTGGGCTTGCAGTGGGGGGGGGAAAATTTCCCAGAAATCACTGCCATTTGCCTGTGACTCCCAACCCTTGGGCAGACACAGCATGTATCACTGAGCTGGCAGACTTCAGAGGGATGAAGCAATGGTTGCACACCTCTCACTAAGCACAGGGAACTGCTTTTGCTTTAGACAGAAATGGGTATGTGTGATAAAGCCAGTGGCCTCCCCAACTTTGTCTGGAATGAAAATTAGGGAAACCTCTTTGCACACAATCAGAAAGTTGTGCGCAGGGAGGCACCAATTTCTCCCTGCGTACTCTAGGCAATTACTCTTTTGGTGTAAGACTCCTCTTTACTCTGTCATTAACTGGACAATGGCCAGCAAAGCACCATTGTCAGAATGAATGTCATTTCCAAGAAGTTGATGGACAGTGAGAAAATGGGTCAGGAGAAAATTGTCATGTGTATGTAGCCAAGGGAGAGTAGGGATATATTTGTGATCAGTTGTACCACAGGAGGAGTGAATCTACCCTAGATTTCAGTCTGGATTTCATGGGAGCTATCCATGGTGCTGAACCCTATCTCCTCATTGGGCTCAGCTTCTTGGGTAGCTTCTGTAAAATCTGGATTAAAATGCAGAGTGGACTAACTACCCTTGAAAAACTGGAGTCACTTGCCTTCACTGAAGTGAACACACAAAGGAAATTTCGGGGGATCCTGTCCCCAGGAACCCAAAGAGATACATAGGAGCTCAAGAAAGATTACTTGAAATTGTTGATTGGACATTACTTTTACAGCATGGCTACTGGAAGTTATATTTGTAGCACTTTTAGGCATGACTGCCAAGAGGCTGGGAGTCCAGAAAAGTAATTTTTCTGAGTTTTGTGTCCCAATATATATTTTGTATGTTTTCTGATACTGGATTGCTTTTATAAGTGTAGGTGACTGAATTATGGTGAAGTACGTAGCATCAACAATAACAGCAACACATAAGAGCTGCAACAACCTCTCCTTTTCTTTGTCTCTTAATCCTTGTCTTCCTCCATTAAGTCCCCATCTGAGTGATACCCATGATCCCTTCAGTACTCATATGACTCCAGAAGCTATGGGAGTTTATTGGGCCTTGAATTCACAATGAACTGTGTTTTCCAGGACTGCTGAGTAATACTCAGGATAACACTCTTACAGGTTTCTATCAAGCACAATACAGAAGAGAGGGGAGAACAAAGAAAAGCAGATGGCAAGGCCAAAGTTGTCACTGGTGGTTTGCCATCAGCTACATTATAGGCAATTTAAGAGGCTTTCTTTCTTTGCAAGATAGTTCAAACATTATACTATTGTGTTGAACCAAATCACATGGATGAGCAACTTTGTGCCTTTGGTGTTCTCCTCCTCTTTCCACCCATATAAGCTGAAGGCCATAATATTGTCAAGATATTATATTTATCAACAGCACAAGGTATTTTTTTTAAAAAAATCTTCAGTATGATCTCATTCACACTTTTGTTTAGGTTTATGTAAGAAATGACTCTGCTTCTGAATCCCTTTGAGTCGTAATTTACAGCAAATAGCATGAACCTCCTGAATCAGTGAAGCTGCCAACTGTGAGATACATTCAAACAATAGTAGCCTCCCCTGTACAGTGGACCCTCTACTTAAGGAATTAATCCGTATTGGAATGGTGGCTGCAAGTCGAAAAGTCTGTAAGTCGAATCTCCATTGACCTACAATGCACTGAAAACCGATTAATCCCATAACCAGTGGTTTTTATTCTATTTTTATTCCATTCTGGTTTTTTTTCTGGTCTGTAAGTCGATTCTCTGGCTGCAAGTTGAATCTAAATTTTGCAGCCAGAGAAGTCTGTAACTCGAAAAGTCTGTAAGTCGAGCCGTCTGTAAGTCGAGGGTCCACTGTAGAGGGGAATGTGACACTGGAATTCAGAGGGACGTTTCACTCTGGAAATGGCAAGGATTAATTGAGCAGAGACTCTATCTAGTTTTGTCTGTTCGCCAGAAGATGGATTCAAAATTGGTCAGACTAATCAGACAACTCATATGGGAAGATACCAATATAATTTATGAATTTTGGTAACAAGATATATTTACAACTCAATGAAGGCACATGGTGATATTTCAAAAAGACTGAAGTATTATTATATGGTTTGCACACAGATGTTTAGAAGCAGGGACTTTGAATGGCTTTCCCTGAACACAGGGGACATAGGTTACTCCATACTCTTCTGGAAGTCATAACTGAAAAAACAGCATATACATATTTTTCAGACAAAAGAAAATACAGTTTATCACCAACACATTTCATGAACTTTAAAAACGTAACCTCAGTGTAAAAATCTTCTCTTAAATAAGCAGACAAGAAAAGCCATGATGGAGCAGACTAAAAGGTTGATTTCTGCCAGTGCTCACCAACATTGGATCGATGTGAGTGGGAAGTCTATAAGCACATAGCTAAAGCAATTTGTTCCCCTTTGGCCATAGGCAAGAGATCTATGGGTATCTTGATGTTGTACTCCAACTTGCATCATGCTTGGTGATGGGAGTTGTAATCCAACAACCTCTGTAGGGCTCCTGTGGGCTCCAACCCACCCACAGACCTAGGGATATGACAGGAAAGTACTTGGAAAAAATGATTTGCATCATATATAAACCTTTGTCCTAACAACTCATTCTCACTGGCTAAAATCCAGTAGTAATTCACAGCTAGAGTAAGACCCTTGAATCAGTGGGGGTTTAATAAGTCAGCTTCTCCATAAATTCCACTGATTACAGGTTTCTACTAGATTTCAAGCTCTATTTCCCACCACATTTCAAATCCAAGGTTGCCTACAACCCCAGTTGATACTTACCCTATCAATTCATTGAAGAAATCAATTTGCGAAGGCGGGGAATGTATGCATCATCTTTCTCTAGGCAGTATTTTGGCTTCTATAAACATTGTTCCTATTCTACTACACTCAAATAAAACCTTTCCCACATATATCTCCATTCCCCTAAGGGGCTACTATACTTTTCGAACCAAGTCCTCCAGTCTGCTTCCAAATGGCATAATTTTTAAAGGCTGTTTCATACTTACTTTAAACATGATTCAAACAATCAACATCCCAAGATAGTCCAAATCATTTATGGAATGTCTGAAGCCTTTAGATGCAGCCCCATGACAATCAAAAGCAATACACACTTCTTTTTCTTCAGAATTCATCTCCCTTAAGACTTGAAGTGAGTGCTTTCCATATAAGTCTTGATTTTAAATGAAAAGTATGTCTATAAGCAGCACTTAAATATTGAAACCAATTAAATTTGTCAGAAAGTTGGACATGGCCCAGTCTGACATAACTTCTCATTGCAGTCTCTCTGCTCAGTGAATTCTTTTATGGCATATATCTACATCATCATCCCAAATTCCCTTTGTTACAAGATATACAAGTAAAGATTTCCATTACTACCACTTTATCTTATCAAGTTTGTATCTATTTTTCCTTTATTATATGAAATTATAAAGTACAAGGGACTCATAAAGCTGTATAATTTCTACGTTCAGTTCCATGAGCTATAGAACAGCCAAGATTCATGCCCTGGTCTATTCTAAAATATTCTGTGAGATCTGTCAAGATGTACAATTACTTTCAGATTCAATACCTCATTATGGACTAAATCCAATTCTTAGTCCCAAACAGAGTAAACCCACTGAATGAACCAGACTTATGTCAAAACTTGCGTTATGAATCAACTGCCACTACAGTATTTCAGTTGGGACTAACAACTGGATCTAGCTTAGGATGTCAGACTGGCACGAATTTGTCCTTTTGAATTGAATCCCCAACAGACCTTCCAGAGCCTGAAAATGATGCAGAAGATGGTACCGGGTACTCAGAAAGTGGATACATCTAATTTTGGAGGTCTTCTATTTAGTCATCCTTAGTCCACAAGCTGAAGCCATTCAGGAACCCTCACACCCCTGTGTGCAGCATATTAAAGGCAGTGGATGGGTTACTGTGGAAAGAGTAAGATAAAGAAACCCACTTCCACTTGGTCATTCTGAGTTTCTAAGTCTGGACCCAATTCACCATGTCCAACCGTTGCTCCCTGCTGATGTGATACATATATATAGATAGGCTGCATTATGTCTTCAGGCTCCATCTATGAGTTGCATGTGTAAAGACCACCTCCCCTGTGTAAACGCAGAGGCTCTGCAAAAATGTTCAAGTGAATATCTGTAGGCAATGGGTAGAGACTGCCATGATGATATTGCTCCTTCTCAGACCTTCATTTCACACACACCCATATAAATGTCTGAATGGGATTCCTCTTAATAAAGAAAGTAACACTATGGGTCCTCATTTATATTGGAATAAACTGGCTCCCAACTCACAAAAAGTTGTAGTTACCTGCCATACCTGGGTAGTGAGCTGTACTGCCGTTGAGCTTGCTGGAAACTCTCTCTTTCTTCTTGCCGTTGTTTCTGCATCTGAACTTCAACTGATACAGAATGCCTGCCGCTTTGTGAGTATGTCTTTGAATTTGGCTAGGAGGAAAAGTAAAAAAGTTAAACAGGTTTTCTTTGTTTACTTCGGAATAATAAGTCATATTACTTTTCTATGTAGGCACAGTCAATATGTACACATAAGCTTCTGCTTGCCCATATCAATAAAAAGATTCAATGGACTACAGCAGTATACAGGAGCTTCTTGCATGATTTCTTCTTTGTCTAGGGCTGTTGGTCTTTGAAATATTGCAATATTATTGGCAAATACTTCAAACAGGCCTGCTCTTTAGCCTCCCTAAAGTATCTTTAAAGTCACAGAATGGCTTCTAAGACAACTGAATGTTACACAATTTCCTCCTGACATCGCCCCCATTGGAAGGTCCATTTTGAATAATGAAATATTTATCGATCCTAATCCGTTGGCATCAAACAAAATTTGGTAGGTCTCTTATGAGGATGGGAGGATTGGGGGGCAATCAGGAGAATCTGGAGAAGTCTGGGAAAGAAAACATGGAGTGAGAAAAGTGGCAAAAAGCTACAGTAAAAATGGTTAAGTGAAAGGTAGTCTTTGCCAGACAGTGCAATTCTGTAACACAGTGGTCCCCAACCTTGGACTTCAGCTCCCAGAAATCCTGGCCAGCAGAGGAGGTGGTGAAGGCTTCTGGGAGTTGTAGTCCAAGAACATCTGGAGGCCCAAGGTTGGGGACCACTGCTGTAACATATGGCTGTCAGGTGTAACAGCAGCATCCACTGTGCTATAAACCTGCATGGTTTAGAACAGGTATAGGGAATGTGTAGCTGGAGTGCCATCATCCTTCACTATTTTTACACACTGACTAGGGCTGATGGAAGTTGAAGTCCAACAACATCTGGGGCATATATTCCCAGTTCCAGATGTAGAATCCACAAAATTGTCTAATAGTTCTTGATACATCAATATAAACTGTGATGTTTAGAGGAAAACATACCTGGCAGATAAGCGAGGCTTAATACATTTTAATGGTCTTGATTCCCTTATTATTACCTTAAGGGTGCCTAAATCTTAAGATTCTTTAATTCTATAGGCACACTTTATGATGCTTCTATAAGACTCCATAGCATTCAAGGAGACTTTAATAGGGCATCACAAAAGGAGTTTGAAGGCTAAATTGCTCTGATCCTGCTAAAAACAAGCAGTTGGTATCTTTCTCCTTTGAGGTTATACAGTTCAATCACCCTGCTGAAGCTAAGGAGGTTTCAGTCTGACTGGAGCTGGAAGGAAATCATCTAAGCATCTTTATGTTTGCTGCCTTGATTTTCATGGTGTGAAAAAGATGAGCTGTAAACATACTAAAATAAATGAATTTTTAAAAATGTATGAAAGGAGTTGGCTGACATTGAAATATTGAGTGGGTGGTAAAATCTGGGGTCCACTGCAAATCTGACATGATCCTGTATTATTGAGTACAACATGCTGACTCTACAGTATGTCCTCTATTATTAAAATACAGACTCATAGGCCAAAATTCTTATCTGAACCTGAAACCAAGGACTTGAAAGTAGAGATACGCAGATTTGTGAACACGGATCTCAACTTTAGAATTCTCTGCAGCTGTGCTAGTGGGGAATTGTGGCAGTTGTAGTCTAAAAATAGAAATCTATGCAACTCAACTTAAAAATTACATCTAAAAGAGGACTTCCATATGCCCCTGGCTCTTAACGTAGATCTCCTCTGAGGAAATTCCCCTGGTTTCCCTGCCCTGAAGGCTGCTATTGAATAGATCAGTTTCTGTACAGGGGCTGTGAGGTGGCAGAACACCTCATCTTTTTCTTCAGGGACTAAAATAGTTTGATCTGACCTTGCTTGAAGGGTAAGGTCTTCTCTCTCGTTATGGTGGCAGAAACAGACATTATAGAAAGCCTATAATTAGAGCTGAAAACACTGTTCATGTTGGTGTGAAAGCGATGTGACTGAGGCAATCTTTCGAGTTTGATCAATTAAGACTTGTAAGCCCTCCCATGCTTACGTTTTTAAAATCAATCCCCAAACAAAGCAAGTATATTTGGACATTTCCAGAGGCAAGAAAGAAAGTGTAGGTGACACAAAGTGCCGTTAAGGATTTTTCTTTTCTGGATCCTTTCTGTTTCTGCCCTCACACTGAAAAAAAATGTTGCACGTGGGACAAAAGGGAAACTATTGATCAAAACCCCAAACCCTAATCCTGTGGTTTTTGTGAGTGATTGGCAGAACATTTTAGGAATATTATGTCATATTAGTTTCACGCCACATCTGCACATTTTTAAAAATTCCTGGTAACACTATAGGCGATGTACAAAAATAACCACATGAAAGTGGAAAAATGCAAGTGAAAAATGAAAGTGGAAAAATGCAAGTGATGGATTTCTGCGCAGCGGGACACAAGTTGTGTGCTCAGAGAATAACTCCCGAAGTAGCTGACACCTGTACAAACAGGGCAGCATAAGGTTCGGAATAATTATCATAATTCTTTAAAGCTATCAAGCAAAACCGTCTGCCTCTTAACAGTGCAGATTTGCAAAGAACTCTGGCCTCGTCTGGGAGAAGATGTATGACAAGGGCTGATCTTTTAAATCACATGGTGGTCAAGGACGCCATGACAGACAAGGCTACATTATACAGATAAACAGATGTTTATGTCTTCAACAATCAAACTTAAGTGAAATTATCATTTCTGCTTTAGAAGTTTGTTAAGGAAAACACAGGAGAAAAGCAAGTTCTATGGGAATGGTGATATGCGGAAGATTATAGCATAAGATACTCAAAGGGATTCCAATTTAAGATGTCACAAGAAGGAATGAGCTTTCTAGAATATAAGGGGACTTAATGATAAGCATTATTTTGCCTAGGGCAAAAAAGACATTACCAGTAAATGGGAAAGGCTTATTTTAAGAAACTGGCTGAATATAATCTGGATTTCATTTTATGAAGTGGACTATAGATCTTAAAAGTCATTGAGACAACAGAAACGTTGTGCTTTAAAATCCAACAAAATCTTTACAATTTGATTTGATTTTTTTTTTTTTTTTTTTTTGCTGTTTGGCTTGGACAGGCTAGCTGATTACCTTCCTGAACCATTTAGTGAGATTTCGTAAATGACAAGATATTGTCATAAATAAGAATTACTATGAAAATGGGAATCAGTATAAAATAGATGCATTTTGCCCAATAAATCTATTTTGTTAAGCTAGCCAAGCTATATTTTGGGAAAGATTATCATTTCGAATATTTGCAAGTGATGGATTTTACTGTAGAGGGTGGAAAATGAAAGAATGATCTGGAGCAAAAGGTGAGCAGCAAAGTAGCGAAGTTTGCAAAGGATGCCATTAGAGTAATTAGAGGGGAAAAGGGGACAGCTATGGCTTGAAAAGCATCTCTCTAAACCGAGAGAATAGGTACAAAAAAGCACATGTGATACAGTGAAAATAAGTGCAAATTATTATGGCAGGAATCTGAACTAGCAGTGAACGACGAAGAAAAAGAATTTGGTGTTGCAATGGACATCATAATAAAACCATAAAGACAATATATGACTGTTATGAAAGTGAAAATTCCATTTCAGTGATTATTAGGAAAAGAATCAAACTGGATAGTATACTTATACATGCACTGCAAGCCCTCCTAGAATAACTGGTTTACACACCTTTGAAACTAGGATATGGCAGAGAGATGGAGAAGATGCAAACTGGCCCATGAATAAACAAGGAGTTAGAGCAACACTCTTATAAGAAAATAATCTCAAGATAGGAGTTCCTGTAGCTTAATTAAGAGAAGATGTGATGGAGAGCTATATAGTTTATGCATGGAGTGGAAAACCTTGATAAGGAAAAGTCCTTGATCCCAACGTAGAAGAGCCCGGGCTTCTCTAACGAAGCTAAAGGTGAGAGATTCAGGAACCGACAAAAGGAAGTGATACTTCACACAGTACATAGTTAAGAATATGGAATTCATTGGTTCAGAGAGAAAGTACTTGCCATTAACTCAAGAGAGTTTTAAAAGAGGATTGGGTCAATTCATGGAAGACAAAACCATCGCTAGCTACTAGTCATGATAGCTGCAGGTGATCTCCATCATCTGTCTCTGTACCAACCAACAAGTGGAAAGGTGCTACTGCCCTCACATTCTGCTCAGGCATCTTATTGGTTGCTACAGAAGCAGGATGTTGTACTAGACAGACCTTCGATCTGATCCAGGATAGTTCTTCTTAAGTTCTCACATCCCACTGCGCATACCCCATTGCACAAAGCTGCTGCATGAACAGAGGCTTCTTCATTCTCTTTCATGGGAATGGAACTTAGCATCAACAGAGCTATCCTTACCATGAGAACCACAAGGAAGCCCCTGAAACTGCTGGCTTGGAGTCTTAGTGTTAACAAAATGAAAAGATTTGACAAGGATAAATTGTCATACCAAGGAAATCAATCACAAGCTAGATAATGCTGTCCTGCGTCATGTCCTAAGCGTCAGCTTTTCTGCTTAGATCTCTTCAGGAAGTGTCAATTTAAAGATTTTAATAAGACTGTCTGCATCCATTAACATTGTTGGATTGACTGCCTTGTGGATGGGAGTTCATTAATTTTTGGCACAGCAGATATATGAGCCCTGGAAGGACTGCCAGCTCTCCCACGGCCCATCAGGTGAGGATATTTGCCAACAGTATTATAATGAAACCATCCAAAATGGACACTTGCTCACTATGATCCATGAAAAGACATGTGGTCACAATCATTCACCAGAGGCTAGAAACTATGAATCACACATAAAATCATTTGCTGACCTTGGAAAATTTACTTTTCTAACTATAGCTCCAGTTCACTAGTTGGTCATGCTGGATGGGGCCGTTTGGGACTTCTAGAGCACAAAGTAACTTTTTCAAGCTTTGGATAAGTTTACATGGTAGACACATATATTAATCCATTCTATGTATACCTGTATTCCTGTTCCAAGAATCTGTTCTCTAGTCACTGTCTTAAAGAAAGACAAGGGGAAATTCAGTGAGTTTAAAGAATCCTTCATAGAATTCTTTAAATGAAAACCTGCTTTCCTTGTTTATATCAGGACACAAGAATTTCCTTTCCTTTCATATATTTGAGGGGCTTTTCCAGATTTAAAGCTAGCTCCATCTCGCCTCTGATCTGTTTGGTGTCCCAAACAAGCTCCCTTAGGCTAATGTGTGAGTTTTAACAACAGGCCTTACATAGGTGTATTTTTCACAACCACACTTTGAACTAAGAGCTTTGACAGGGAGGTCCATAAAGCACTGACGAAAGTAGCTAAGATATCCTTACGAGGCAAGCTGCTTTTATGTTATTGAAAGTATAGTTTGGTATTTGCTACATCTGGATGCATTTTGGGAGGAATACCTCTGTACTTTCCAGCTAATACACTGAAGTTGCATACGCTGCTTAAAGAGATGGGTTTATTGTTCCTCCGCGGTGAAACTACATTGCACACACTCCAAATGGATGAGATCATTGTTTTATCTCTTCCAAGCATAGTGATATTAGCCAGATTGGAAGACACAAGAAGGGGAAAAATAATTTTAAGGTAGATGGGAATTATTTCATCAATTCAATGTGTCTGTATAAAAAGTAACGTATGAAAATGCACACACATACACACATGTACACAGACACACAGCTTCCTTTAAAAGTTGTGATAATGAAATCCACCCACAAGTAACACAACAGTAAGGTTCAGGATTAAAATCTACACGTTAAATAGACATACTGTCACTTTAAGTTTATTAGCATGGTCAGCCCAATGGGAGAAGGGTCTTTATTGTTTGCAGGAAAGAGGGAGGAGGGAAAAGAAAGGTCATTGATCTGACCCACATTTTAGGAAATGATTCCATTCTTGAGGTAATCAGCCTGTCATCTAAATAATTCCCCACTCACTCATTACTGGGAATTATAATACCCTGCAAAGTTGCCTGCCTAAAGTTGCTATGGTGTTTGGCCCAACAACATTTGGCCCATGACCTTCAGGAGTTAAGTTCTCAAGTCCTCCTGCACATCTCTCTCAGACTGTTTCCCCAAGATCCTTCACCCATCACTTTCCCAAGATTAACTAGCAGCATCCTCCACATAGCATAGTCATGCTCACCCTTTCTAGGGATCACTTGTATGAGAAAATAATAAAAAATGGGGGGCACTGAATTATCTTTACCGCTCCTAATGGAAATAAAATAAATAAAAAGAGCTTTTCCTTAAATGAGTTCCAAGGAAAACCAGACATATTTTATAACAGAGCTTTAAAAGGAAGCTCATATATTTTCATACACAGTAAAATAAGAGGCTTTTTAGTAGCGTTTGGAAAGTTACTGATTTAAAGGTAAGCTTGTTGTCTTTTTTAATGCCTGGATCTAAAATCAGTATTTTTAAGATGAGTAAAGCACAAAGGAAGACTGAAATAAAGATCTTATCTATCCTGTAAACTTACAAACCACAATGGAGAGATTTAAGAAACACAGCTCCTTTGTCTAGCCAGACAATGGAATCTCTTTCTGTCTCTATGCAAGCTTTTCTCCAGCCTAGTACCTTGCAGCTGTGTCAAACTACAATCCCCAGCATCCCCATTCAGTATGGCTAGCCATTTAGGATGCCTCTGGCAGCTTGTTCTTTGTTATCCACCAGATCTTAAAAAGCAGATGGAGTTGGGTGTCATTAACACACTGTTAGTACCAGATCACAAAATTCTGAATAGTTTATTTCAGGTTTTTCATGTATATGTGAAGTAGTATAGGGAAATCATAGAACCGTGAGACACTCCATAGGCCAAGGTGTTGAACAGGAGGCCCCCAGGACCACTACCATTCACAAAGTGACACCACACAAGGGAAAATCCCAGAAGCTGATTCCATTTTTCATCAGTTAACCACTTCTCACCCAAACACAAAGCAATGGCCAGGGCTGTTTTTCAACAAGTGTGAATGGTAGTGAGCAGAAGAGAGTATCCTGCAGACCAGGGGTCCCCAACCTTTTCCCAACCCCAGACCGGTTTGGGGGTATGTGTGGCATGCTCATGGAGGGTGCCAGGTTGTGGACCAGGAGTTGGGGACCCCTGCTGTAGACCATCTGGACTGCTGCCATTGCCCGTCCTTTGCTATTTAGAGCTTGGCATCCTTTCTCCTGCTGGTAACATGGGCATGATATTTTGCAGCAGTACTGGGCCATTTCCTGGTAGTTTGAATTATGGGTACAGAAGCACAATGTCCTACATTCATAAGCTGAAGGTTTTTTGTTTTTTTTAAGAAATGAATCAGTTTAAAAACCAGAGTCCAGTGACATCCTGATGGGTCCCATGAAAAGTTAATAAGCTTTCTTAGTCTGTCTCCTGATGAGGTGGTTTGGGCATGTGAACTGATGCCATTACTTCCATGCAGTAATGCTCCCTTGTGTGGAGGTGCTGTCCTAACTGAAATAACTCAATATCAGCATAAGGAATATCTGCAGTGCCTTTTAAGTGGTGGCCTCTGCATGGCAGAAATCCTTCTCTCAATGTCTCTGAGTTGTTTTAGGAGCCTTATTAAATATTCTTATTTCAGAAATCCGCTTGGTGGCTATTTTGATTACATATACAGTGGTGCCTCGCTTAACGATGATAATCCGTTCCAGGAAAATCACTGTTAAGCGAAAACATCGTAAAGCAACCCCCCCATTGAAACGCATTGAAACCCCTTCAATGCATTCCAATGGGGTAGAAACTCACAGTCCAGTAAAGATCCTACATATGGCAGCCATTTTCACTGCCTGTCTTGTGAGGAATCCGTCCCAGAAAACAGCCGGGAGCCATTTTAGTTACCTGGTGGCCATTTTGAAACTGCAGATCAGCTGTTTTAAAATTGTCATTTTGCGACCCATTTATGTAGACCATCATTTTGCGAAGATCGTCGTAATGCAGTTTCGTCATAATGCGGGGCAATCGTAAAGCGAGGCATGACTGTAATGTTTCTATGATATTTGCATTTCCTCCCTTATTGGTTTATTGATTTCGATTTGTAGTTTCAGTTGTGGTCATTTTTTTTAAATTTTTTTAATGATTTCAAACAGTGGTAATGTGACAGATAACTTGTTTAAGAGACCCTTTTTTAATAATTAAAAAGAAAACAGCATAGTTGTGGTAGAAACTAATTAACTAACTGGCTAGCTAGCCAGCTAATTATCTAAATAGATGTTTTATGCATTTATGGAAGGGGGGTTGGAGAACAACAGCCTCTTTGATACCTCTTCCTGCCTTGGCAAAATCTAGTTGCTAATTCCTGGCACAGAACATCTTTTTAGGTCATGATACTTATATATGCTTTTCCCTACGGTAAAAGCCTTTTAAATGCTTCCATATTTCATTTGAAACTCTCTAGTTCACACAAGCACAGACTCGCATTCTGGTAAATCATGCCTGCACAAACCCACAAAAGGCACAAATGCAGATATGTTAGTCCGCATCAGTGTCTTGTCAAATGGGAAAACAATACCCTTTACAGAAGGGACAGATGGCAAAGCCCGGTACAAAATGAAATTAGGAATGCTGGGGCACAGATGGGGAAGGGAAGAGTCAGGAGTTTAAAGGTCACCTAGGCCCCTGAATTGAATCTTGGTTGTCTCGAATACTCAAGGGATAACAGCTGAAACTGGGAGGGAAAATCACTGTAAACTCAGTGGCTGAGACCACATGCTTTGTACCCTGAAGTTCCCAGGTTCACTTCCTGGACTCTCCAACAAGGATGATGGGGCAGGGGAGGAAATCCTTTTTGAAGCCTGGAAGAGCCCACAAGCAGGCCAGTGGTGGGAAACCTGTTGACAGGGATGGCAACGAGCTCTCCCACTACCTGAGATGGGCTGCCCTGACTTAGCTGATCACTGCTGCTAATGCTGCAGCTGTGGCTGTTTTCCTTCCACCATACTTGGAAAGTGAGATGGAGGATGGGCAGGTTCTGAGAAGAATACTGCTGCAGCTCTCCTCAAGGTTGGCTAGGCCTATGCCTACAGGGATCTCTCTGGATGCTCTGTTGCCAGATTTGATGGAGACCCTATCAAAGCCAAGAATTTTGTACTTGGCTGAGCTTCCTGTGTTCAGAAACAGCAGCGGCTTCCTAAAGGGGATGGAGAGTTGGTGATTTGCCATTTCTAGTGGTCTTCTGCTTGAGGTTCAATGTATCTAATGAAAAAGTAGCTCTGCCTGTGTGTTATTTACAACAGTGGTCTCCAACCTTGGACCTCCAGATGTTCTTGGACGTCAACTCCCAGAAATCCTGGCCAGCAGAAGTGGTGGTGAAGGCTTCTGGGAGTTGTAGTCCAAGAACATCTGGAGGCCCAAGGTTCAAGACCACTGATTTACAAGACCTGATTGGCTGTGAATGAGTCTGGTATAGTCGGATGGGAAGTAGAGTCCAATATCTGCCATGCCACATGTACCCCAGTTCTGCTTTAATGGTTAAAACGAGCACTCAGAAAAAAAAGTGTGGATCAACCAAGACAGGCAGATATCACACAGTCTCTCTGGTTGGCTTCGGTCAACACCACAGCAGCAGTATTTTTCACAAGTTTGTTTCTGAACCTATTTCAGGGATAGCCTCTCACAAAGCAGGTGGCAGTAGACTAACATAACCAGTAGAGATGCATCAGATTTTCCAGTCTTCCTTCTCGTGTGTGGAATGTACATGGGAAGAGAAACATACCTCTTCAGACTGATCAGTCAACAGAGGAAGACCATGACAACAGTTATGAGCTAGGCACTCCTCCTGATCAAGTTGATGAGCTTGGATCTTCCAATGCCCAAACATGACTATGGTTCTCTTTCATCAAGAATGTGGACAACCGCAAATTAGATGGACCAGTCATCTGACTAAGGCAGCTAAGAGGCTGTAATTAACGAACACTTACCCATGGTTGTTCAAAACTGTATGTCCGCCTCCTATCTTCTACATCTTCATCCTGTTTTGCCTGTTGAAATTCTTGCCTTAGCCGCTGTATCCGGTCATGGTTGCTGGGAGCTGATCTGTTACGAAGAGCAGCAAGACAGAGAAGAGAGATTAATGCTTCTTTTAAACAGCAGCAACAAAGGTATTTTTCTTTTTCACCCACAGAACACCTTCAAGAATCTTACAAACATGCAATAATAAGACAAACAAGTACTCATGGTCAATATTTTAGAGAAAAATTAGCATAAAAATCCAAATTTTCTCTGCAATAAATACATTAAAATACTTGTGACTGCCAAAAGTTTGCTGAAATTTTTGGAAAAGTTTATGCAAGTTATTACGTTATTAATAGGAAATACTGTATGTTATGGAGAGATGTTTGGTGCAATAGCTTGAAGGATGGTGGAATGTCTAGACAAGTCCTAAAACATTTACTTTACTTTTATTAGATTTTTACCCACCCACCCCGACAAAGTCTACTCGGGGCGGCTTACATACTAAAGCCTGTCAGTAGATTTGAAGATTATTATTGCAAAACACTATAAATCTGGTAACCCATAGAAAATCCCAGCATTCTAAAGGAGGCACTTTCAGGGACAGAGAAGAGCAGGTTGATAGACTGATTGAGCCTTTGGTTGGAAAAGGGAATAGTAAGGAATGGTTAAAAACATGAGTTTGCTTTGCAACTTACTGGAACAATTATTACAACTATCCCCAGTTAAAGGATCTGTTTTCTGTTTCATAAAGTGTTGATAGCCACCCACCCATAAAATTATATCTTCTTCTATAGCTATTGATAGAGGTTTTCTTTAAAATAATGCTGACATTTTATCCAAGCTCTTTGTATAGAGATAAACACACACACATACTATCTCTCCTTTAGCTCAGTTTATACACTTTCCTTTAAAATATTCTTGTCAATAAGCTATCTCAAGAAAGGCATATTATCTACCATAAAGTTATTTGAGTTAATGATATCCAGGGCAAGCACAGAAATAAGGTTGGATTACTGAAATCCACTCTACATAAGACTGTCCTTAAAGTCAATTCATAAGCTTCATTTCTCATGATCAATGAACAGAATGCAAGTTGATATGCTTTGTATTTATTGCAAGCTATTCATTCATTCATTCATTCATTCATTCATTCATTCATTCATTCATTCATTCATTCATTCATCCATCCATTCATTCATTCAATTTATACCCCACCCCCCTAGACAGGGTCTACTCGGGGCAGCTTACAAAATCATAAAATATCATTAAATAACAATAAAAACATCACAATCAAAAATAAACATTCATATTGAACATTACAGATGTGCACTGTGGAGATTTTCATCTTTCTTCCATTTTGAGTTCTTTCAGGGGTGCCTTTTTCATTTTCATGCTTTTCATTTTACATTAAAGAGAAAGCCTCTTTCTGATTTGTCATTTGTGTTTTCTGGCAACCCCCCTTAAAAAATACTCCAAGAAAACAAAACAGTTGCTCCCCCCCAAGCCTACCAAAATATCAACCTTTAATAGAGCAAATACACAGCAAATTAACGGAGGAACAATTTTTTTAAAAAAATCAATCAAACAGGGAAAGCACCACACACAGCCCCCTCCCTAAAACTAAAAAAGCAAGCATATAAAAGGGGGGAATATACAATCAATGCTCCCCCTCAACACACATTAAAGCTACTAAAATATGGGAAGATTTCTTCCACTACCAAGGAGACCAGGCAGGAGCAAAAACAGTCCAAGAAAGGAAAGGACCAGAAGGACAGGAAGGGAAGGGGGAATCCCCCAAAGAAATAAGGGGTCCAAATAATAATCCAATCCCTACTGAACATGCCGTAACCACTATATGGAGTGATCTAAGAAGGACATCTCAAGGATACTGTAAATTGGTCCACACCCAAAGCAAACCGGCTCATTCATTACTGGGAAAATCAATGACACTGCACTAACTCTTTTAAAATATAAAATACAGAAAAATATTTCCACGAGTTCCCATCATATTGAATAAACATGGAAGATAATTGTTTACTTATTTCAGCTACTCCACTGCTGTCAGAGCCTCTGTCTCAGTGGGCTCCTCACTATAATTTGGAGATGGTGGTATTGGATTATTTTTCCCCCCAATCAATAGGCTCCTGTCACCCTTTAGGTCTGCTTCTGACAAGTCCTTTGAACTGATCTGCTTGATAGCATTAAAAGGTTAATGGGCATATGGTACATTTCACCATGTGGAAACTGCAACAGTATTCATTAGGGACGTCTGCTTGTACCAAGGAAGTGGAGGGCAGCAATCATACTTTCCCTGGGAGCAGAACCTTTTGAACTCCACAAAATTACGTTGGATTCAGTAGGCACAGGATCAAGTTATAATGGTTTGCACCACAGCATTATTCTTGGATCATGGAAACCGTATCTGGTAGATTGTTACACAATGTAAAACCAGTGGTTCAGCTAAGGTGGGATGTCTGCCATGAGACTTACGCCCTTGCCGCAGAGGGGTCGGGTGAGGGGGATGGAGAAGCAGAGTGTTTTTCCCCCCTTTCTTTCTCAGCAAGATTCTTTCCAACTGCACCAAGGCCGCCCCACCCACAAAAAAGTCAAACACAAACTTCAAGCGGTATGGTTGCCTTAGTGTTGGTCAAGCACAGCTAAAGCTTCTGGTTCTCTCCTCTCCACTTTCACAGAGATCGCCTATGAAGTACACAACTCAGCGGGTGGCTGCAGACTTTCAGTACTGAAGAAAAGAAGGTTCTGGCCAAGAAGAAGTTGTTATTTTAATATGGCTTGGGCAGTTTGATTTAAGTGTGGAAGCCAAGCACATCTTAAACCTTGTAGAAATTGTGTCACATTCCAACTTCTTAATACATGGATACACAAAACCTTTCTATTTCCCCCCCTCTCCTCCAGATGTACACGGTGTGAGCTTTATAAATTCTCTCAGAGACTTTTCATCAGGGCCAGCATCCAAGGAGGAAGTCGCCAGGTGCTTACTGAAACCAACATCCCTGTGTAATGTTCATTATTGGCTTTGCATTTAGAAGTGAAACTTCCTTAAAAGGTAGAGTTTAAAAAAAAATCAGAAGCTTTCAGCAGTTCCACCAGTTGCAGATGAACTTGCGTTTCTTTGGGAGACGATCACTAGGAGGTAATCGTGTTAATCGGCAAGTTAACTGTCCAGACAAAGCTGCTTTTTAATAGGGAAGCTGGTGTCTTGTGTCGTTTGGGCCTGAGCACTGCTGATGTACTTTGGTTGTGTCCAGAGCAATGGGAGCTAGTGACTCTGAGTTTGTGAGGGTGCTAAATCCATTTTGCATTTTACTCTGACCCTTACAGGAGCTGTCAAAAGTGCCAGTATTTTGGGGGCAGAGTTCCATTCTTTAAATAGTCCCCATAAAACCTAGACTCAAGAGTGGATTCACAGCTCCTGCGAAAACAAAGTCAACAGCTTCCACTAGCTCAAAGGAAGAAAACACGCAGGTGTATAGTAGTAACCATAGTTAGGACGAGGTGGGTCTCCCCAGAGAAGGAATTAGGGGTCACAAGGACAAGAGACCACCATCAGTTAAACTTCTGCAGCTTAGTGTTCTTTATAACTTCTTATCATTGCATGGTTTTAATTATTGTGACCTGCTGTGAGTCCCCTAGAGGGAGATAGGGGCCAGATAGATAGATAGATAGATAGATAGATAGATAGATAGATAGATAGATAGATAGATAGATAGATAGACAGACAGACAGACAGACAGACAGACAGACAGACAGACAGTTGACTATATCTTCCATTATCCTTGATAATGGGTTGGAGAAGGTAGTCATGTGTGGATTTCAGAATGTGCTTCATCCTGCAAATGCAGAGTCTATAAATTCCCAAGATGCAGTCTGCCGAGGTGCATGGATTGCAATCTGGATGCATGCAAGATCTGAGAAGGAAGGCTATTTGACTGATAGCTGACAGCTCAATTACTTCAGGCGCAAAAAAAAAAACCAAAAAAAAACCTTTAGGCGCAAATTATGGTCTCTGTTTGCCCATCTCCCGTCTATGATGCCTGCCAACTACATATTGTTAAATGCATCCTCAGCAATTTCATCAAAGCTACTTACAAGACATGAAATCAGCTGTTGGGGCCCGAAAAGAGCAGCGTAAGCAAAGCTCACATAAGGCCAGAGCTGTCACATATTTTCAGTAACCAGAAGCCACAGCCACGGCTGTTAAGAGTCTCAGATCGTTAAGCAATATCTCACTATGATGTCATGCACTGAAGTACGGAGTTGTAATCCTTTCAAAACAGACAGATTGTCAGCGTGATAAAGTGGATAGAACCAAACTACTGAACAGGAATTACGAAAGCTTCAAGAGGGGGAGAGCGAGAGCGAGAGAGAAAGAGGGAAAAATGTACAGTATCAGTCTGAGAGACGAAAGGCGTCCTTTGAATAAAATGAAGCAATCATGCTACAGTTAGAACAACAAGAACAGAAAGCTCAGCTAGCATTTCCACAGCCAGTCCTCTCTCTCTCTCTCTCTCTCTCTCTCTCTCTCTCTCTCTCTCTCTCTCTCTGTGTGTGTGTGTGTGTTTGTGAAGAGTGACAGGTGATAAACATGAGCCAGTGGATAGTACTTCTGGTTCCTGTTGATACTACCTATAACATGTAGTTTTCTAAGTTGTAGCTGTGTTAGTCTGTGCAAGCATTTCAACGAGAGACACAAAACAGAAGGAGAAAAAAGACGTTGTGGCACCTGAATGACGGCTGTGTTTTAATAGCTTTGGTGGAACATGTCACTTCGTCAGATATAAAGAGTCAGAATACAGAGAGTACATGGTAAAACATTCCTGGGAATGTAATCTACATTTTTCACCACTGCATCCTATAGCGCAAATATTACCGACTTGGGTTAATTAAATGCTCGTATGGTCATGTGGCATCCAGAAACATTCAGCTTATGTTGTGTCTTTCTTTTTTTAAGGCATAACATATCTTGTATCCACAGGTAAAAGGAAAGGAAAAACAAAGGTGGTGCCAGTGAATTTTAAAAACATTGCCTCGTTGACTATTAATTGCCTCCCCAGTCTTCT